TTGATCGAAATGTCTTACCAGGGAGAAACACGTATTACGAAAAGATATTGTGTAAACAATTATTTGAATTTTTTTTTTGTTTTTTAACTAAATTTATATTTGACTGCCTAATATATATTCTACTATAGGAATTACAGACTGAACAGAACAGCAATAATTACTAGAGCTGGGTCGATAATACCAATACGATTTTCAATAACCGATATTCCGATGTATACTGCCGATGTAAAATTGATAACCGATCCGATATTTTATTTCAATGAACCGGTATATAATACTACTTAGAAAATCAGCAATCAATACATTAACCTATGTAAAAAATAAATCAAGTGACGCGTATCAATACATAGTAGATTTGCATATTAAATATTTATACATCGCATCGTGGTTACTATGTTTATTGTTTACCAAATGATTTATTATTTATATATGTCTAAAAATAGTCGGTACGACCACTAGTATTACGCATAAACTGATATGCGATTGTGGTTTATAGGTTTTACTATCGGTTCGGAAAAAAAAATCCATACCCCATATACCGTTAGTACCAATACCGGCCGATATTATTACCGGGTTATGGTATCGGACCAGTTTTAATAATTACATATTTAAATAAACAAGCACGACTTGATTCATAAACGTAAATAAGAAAATACGAGTTTAATTTGTCAGAAGAATAAAATTATGCAATTTTCGAAGGAAAAATTTGAATAATTCAAGTATTATATATATATATCTACAAATTACATGTTTACCATACATATTTATTTATGTTAAAAAATTGAAATTTGAATTTTAACGTACAGATATCTACTAAAGATATATATCTTTAGCAGGAGAGCTTTGTATAGAACTGAAAAATACTTATGCGCATTACCATAATGATATGAAACACATGCAATTGAAAACGTATTCCATTCAGACTGCTGATCTTACGTGACAAGATATTATGTACATATTGTATTGCTGAGTATGACGTTTCGATGATCGTTGTATCATAAGCGTATTTAAATTTGAATTGTTTTATTTCACGAAAATTGATATTCGTTCGATTAAACACAAAACGAATATAATCACCATTTCGCGAAACCTTAATCGAGTAAATAATATTTTTCTTGATATGGTATTCAAATGTCGTCGATTAAATGTTATAGTGTTGCGTAGTGTTTCGCTAACGACCCGGGCGCAGCTGGTTTATCTGCAGTTTCACCAGTCTACGTGTCTTGTTCCAATCATTCGAAGTTGAAACTGCGGACGGTTATTATTTTATCACGCAAAAAATTAAATAGGACGAGATTTGGGAGAAAAAATAATTGGCGGACGGCCTTTCTTAATTCGCCGTGTTGATCAGTCGTTCTGATTGAATAAGTCCACGGAAACGGTTATGTTTGACGATCAAAATGTAATTTTACACGCTCTGTACAGTACACATAATAACCCAGTCCATTAAACAATTCAATATCATCCTGATGGGTTGCTCGTAAACCACAAGTATACTGATTTCTATTATACCGATGCGGATCAAGTCGCGTGAATATTTATGTTACGTTTTATACATTATGCCGCCGCCGAAAGCGGTGTTTGTATAATATTACCTGCTTGGTAAATGTTGCGGTTTGATACAACGTTCAATCGCAAGTATGTTACCACAAATATGACGATACGTCCCTACGATCCATGTTGATTGCGTTTTCAGAATTGACGAGATAATATAATTATCATCGTACGATACGATTGTATCGCAAGCGTGTAGCAACGCGTGCACACAAATAAAGAGCATTCATATTACATTAATTAAACATTTATAGTAACTGCCCTATTAGTACATAGAATATCGTTAGATCAGTGATTCTCATCCTCTTCTCATTCGTGTCACCTTTAGCCACTAAAATCAAACACCGCGTCACCCTAACATCAAAATAATAAATAATCTTTAGAGACTGCTAAATAACTGACTAACGACCCCGGCGATAGTCGATAAAATAATCGATAATGCATTGGTTTCCCATTAATAATAATATAAAGATACAAACTTAAAGGTATGCTATTTACATGGCAGTTGTGGTAATAATATGATTTTTTTTTTAAATTAATTATTTTCTTATTTTTTTCCTTTTCCCGTGGAGATTTCGTGTCACCCCTGCACTGCGTCCATGTTACCCTTGGGTAAAATGTCACCACGGTTGAAAACCATTGCGTTAGATAAATCAACAATATCCTAAAGGTTTATTTCAATCGGTTTCCATATCGGCTTCCAGCTCATCGAAAACAATACAGCGTTTATGACATGCGATTCGTAGATTTTTTCCGATCGAACCGCCTCGGTCCTCTGTTGCTACCCATGTACCCGTCAAATAATAGTGCAACAACCTCTCAACCCTCCGGTGCCTCATTTTTAACACAAGTATTCATTCAACAAACGTGGTTCTCTAAACCCATTTCACTTCACTTCTCGTTTACTCTATGGTTCGTGGGCTGAATCAAAGGCTGTAATAATATCGTTTCTTTTGCGCGAAATTGTTGTCCATTTATTAATTACAATGCTAGCGCCGACGGCAATGGCGACGGCTCTGACTCTGATTATAATTGGAGACTTATCCTCCCACGTGCTCTTCGCCGATGGCAAATTAGGTTTTCTGTAAATTTTAACATAGGTAACAAAGTTAACGTAAAAGTTACCTTTGTTATTTTGCGGGCGTGCTCACGCATTTTCTGCTATAACACCGCACAACAATACAATTTTCTGTTTTGTTCGTGGCCGAAATAAGTCTATGTTGGTTTTAAGTTTATTGTTGTTACATTGAGAGGCTTGGAAGAATGTTGAAAGACCGTGACTGCACTTTCAACAACCACTAAACAATATTATTGATTAAGTGCATTGCATAATAAATAAACTCAATTATATATTTTAGGTAATTAATTACTCGTGTAATGCAATTATTATAATTTTGTCAGCGTATCTACGTCAATATGTTCACTGATCAAAGTGATACGAGATGTTTCTAATATTTTTTGGTTCTGTAGGTATCGTTTTATGGTTTTCACGATTTTAGTTAAAATTAATATTGGTTGCCGGTGTGGTCGTATTATGTTATTAGTTGTGTGAAGTATTAAGTGTCTGGGTGTAACCATAAACAGAACGCTTATAGTTATTTACCTAAATCTTAGTTTCTGAGTAGTAAATCGTGATAAACCGTTAATTAATTTTATTAAGTCCAACGTAAGCTCTACTAAAAATTTTAATACGGTTAGCTATATTTTTCCTGCAACGTTAATTATTAACTATATAATATTTTAATTTGAGATTAAAAAATATCTCAAATGAACGATTCTTTTTCGTTTTTTTTATCCTCACATTAACTTTCTAATATTCTATAATCTTCTCGAATGTATTTGTTATTAAAATATAAAACACCTATTGTATTATGTACCTATATACATACGTTTAATTGAATCCTTTAAAATGTATGAAAATAATATTATTAGTTCTTAATAAATAACTTGAGAATATAATAAAAACTATTATAGGTATTATTTCGTCATATTTGGTAACTATTCAATAACATATGACTGTTCGAAAGTTTACGGCACACATGGGTATATCCATATATACATTTTATTCAATATAAAGGTACAACGCTATTTATTTATAAGTTGACAAAAGTTAATTATATGTTTTGATTATACTTCTATTGAAATATACATACACATATTGTTTTATAATGTAGGTATATGTAAGAAATTTGATTGTAGAAAGAAAAACAATTTTCAACGATTCAATAGTAGGTACTTCGAAACGTGTAACAAAGCAAATAAATATAGTTTCTTAAATTTATTGTCACCGTATTGTTGTAATATGCATCATAACGCGTCATGCACTCCTATAACTGAATAAAAGGAGGTAGAAAGTTAAGAAAAACAGTTTATAATATATTATAATATGAAAATAATACAAAAATTATATGAAATGATTATTTTTTTAAACAAATTTAAAACAATCTATGTATATAATATACAAGAGTACTCAAAAAATTAATATTCCAAGTCCTTACCACTATTAAATAACTTAAATACAAATCAAATTTGATAGCCGTTTTCTGAACATCGGTAAATAATTATATTTACAATAAAAAAAAAAATGAAAAAAAAAAATAAAAATACTTGAGTTGAAACTAAAAGATTACAACAAATAAATATATTCAGTTATCTTAGGCATACTACAAAAACGAATAACTTAAAATATTCTTAGTTAACTCGGTTATTTAATTTTATTTTTTTGCTGACACAATACATAAAAATATTTTCAAACCTTGGATGGCACTTTATAAAAAGTTCACAAATGTATACGTTTTTATAAATTAAAGTTTTGTAACTACGTTTGCTCCATTTACCACGTGCTATAAAATAATAAACACAAATACCAACACCTACTAAAATGATAATAGAGAAAATCTAACAAAAAAATATTAAACAGAGGAAAAAAAACTTTTGTTGCCTTCAGTGAATTAATAATTATTTTATATTTCACAATGTTGAAATTAAACGACAAGTATTCTATCATGTTCTATAACATAGTAAGAAAATAAAAAAATAAATTTAAAAAAATGCAACATTCAACGTATTTTTTACATCTAAAATACAACTTTATAAACATTTGAAGTTTATGTAATCAAATTGCTGTATTTAATTTTAATTTTTATCATTACGCAGACCTTCGTCAAACTATTGCAATGAATATAGATGATTGTAGTTCTTAAGTGTTTTATGAATAATATACCTAACTAATAAATTATACTTTTATGTTATCAAATAATGTTACAATTTAATAAAATTTTTAAACCATTTATTTTCGGTAACAACAACCAATAGCCATGGTTGTTGAAAGTTAACTTAAAAAATTGTTAGTCTTTAATCTTGCAAACCATAAATATTTTAAATATTCAATGGCATATTTAATTAGTAGATCATTATATGCATGTACCAACAATATCATGTTACAGATTACGAGTGGAGGAATCAACGGACACCATCGTGGGATAGGGAATTTGGATGCCTGTGAGAAAAACGATCCTTGTCAACATGGTGGAATTTGCATATCTACAGACAGTGGACCGAAATGCCAATGTCGCGATAAAAACTATGAAGGAGCTTACTGCGAAATAGGTATGTGCACGTTTTTTGCTAAGAAAACAAAGTTTTTAAGTACCAACGGACACGAAAGTTATAGAAGATAAGACATTTTAAACTATTAAATTATTTTCACATTCACTAGGTACCATTGCAATCCATTGTATGTAATTTAAACCGCCTCCATGATTAAAATCTGTCTCAACAATAATTTCCAGTTTCGATTCTAAATTAATTTTCAATACTACCAATTTCGTCGGGTCTGGTGCGAACGTTTCATGTTTGTCACTGTTGTATATTACATAGAATGTATTTCATATAAATCACAATTTGAAAACGTGCTTTGAAATGAAAACTCGACAAAAAATAAATGTTACCACGTGCACACATCAAAGGAGAGTTGTATTGATAGTTTATGAAACGCTTATGGTATTACATGAAATAAACTTGCCGTGTATCCGGGTGTATCCGGGCTCTGAGATGGGGTAAGGTGCTGAGAACGACGGGCAACTGAGGAAAAAAAGGTTTTTATTTTATATGTTTCTATAGGCATAAAAAGTACATTTTATCTCGCGTCCAAATCCCACGTGTTGGATAACAAAATAAATTAATCGTAAACTTCAACCAAAACGTTTGAAAACCACGGTTCGGAGGCTGTTTATAATATTAACATGTTGTAACCACGAAAAACGTACACCACGGTGTACGCAGTTGACGTGACGAGTGCTGTAAAATAATCACTTCGCACACAGGATTTGTATCCTGTTTAATTTGTTTGTAGACACCACGTGAAATGATTTTGTTCCTTGTTGTAAAATTGAAATTCAATACTGTATACATAACGTTCAACGCGTTTATATGTGGGAGGGAAGGAAAACGACAAAACAAATTACGTTTATTTTTTCGATCTTGAAACACAGCACGATACTGCGCAGGGTACATATACGAATACGGGAATGTAACGGGCGAGTAATTTTAATATGTAATTAATCGTCGACTCCGCGTCTGATTTTCACTGCTAATGTGTTATAGTAATAATAATAAAAAGAAGAAGAATTATTATTACTATTATAATGATAATAGTTTTAATGATAATAATAATATTTATACGTAACGAATTATTCGGTTCCGTCGTGGTCATAATATGTTGTGCGTTACGTGCGCCACGGAATTCATATTCGTGTGAAGAAATGTTCACCCGTTGTCAGTGCCGTAGCAACTGAACATTGCGCCCGGGGCAAAATTTCAAAATGCGCCCTTTTGTATTATTAATTTAAAAATTATTATTTGATTATATTTTCAATGATCGCTTTAATTAATATGAAGGATGTTAAAAATTGTGTATACAATATATACGACATTTGATCGTTATAATTTTTAACATTAAATGCAAGATTTTCATTTTTATGCTCTCCCAAGAATTACGTCCGGGACGTAGGCACCTCTCGCCACCTCCTTGATATGGCTCAGCTCGTTTTCTAGCAAAAAGAACAAATCGACGCGATTAATTTATTGGCTTTGGAACGCGCATCGGCAACGTGAAGTTTGCACATGACGCGTTCATCCACCGCACACCAGCGTAACAGTATCGTTAGAGGGCTCTCGAGAAGACCATATACGATCGACTTTAACCGCGATTTAAATCGCCTGCGTTTTCACCAAGTACAATGTTCATCCGAACTACGATGATGTGCCCATATGCACTGCGGCTCTTAAAAACACTGTTTTGCCGGTACGTGTCTGCGTACACGTATGCACGCAAAATTTGATTATCAGTTCGGGTATAATTAGAAACACAAACCGGAAAAAAAAATCAGAGTAATTTGATTTCGTTCGTTCCAATCATATTTTATCACTTTTAACCATACCGTTATCCGTTTTCCTTGAACGGTTAAACACGTACGGTTAATATCAGACGCGTGGCTAGAAATTTCTAAGGGGGAGTGTTATTCACTTTGTCAAATTAATTAACAAAATTATACACACGAAATTGATTACTTTACGTATATTTAAATTTTTCACATATATATTATTATAATAAATACAAAAAAAAAAAATATACATATTTTTAATTAAATTAACTTGATGCGTCTACTTTTTAAAGCTAGAGTATCTATTATTTCGTCGGTGATTACAACTAAATCCCGATGAATATTCATAACTGCTAAGCCGGTAAACCGTTTTTCACCAGTTGTGTTCCTCAAATATGTATTTAAGCGCCGTAAAGAGGAAAAATATCTTTCACTGCTTGCAGTGGTTACTGGTAAAGTAATCAATATTTTTTAAAAATTTTTAAAATTTTTAAAAGTCGATGAACAGTAGGAAATATTTATTATTGTGTAATGCTGAAAATACAACAGTCTACGAGTAGCAGACTACAAAGTTTTGTTTCGGAGTTTAAAGATACATTCACATCCGATGGACACGTTTTATTTTGTGTACTATGTAGTAATTTTTTTTTTATGCATATAAATGCATATTATAATGCATATTTTAATGATTTTAGAAGCATATTTGTATATTTTTTAGAGTAATAAGTCTCTAAGCTTAGTAATTACTAATTAATACCAAGTCCCGGCTCTAGTGCCTTACATTATTGTTATCGTAATATATATTTCATTTTGATAAATAAGTGTAAACCACTGCTTATGATGCATCTTTTTCTTGATAAAACATATTAAGTATAGCACGGCTGAGGGGGGGGTGAGGGTGTTACTACACCTGTAATACCCCCTCCTGGCTACGCGCCTGGTTACAATTGTCATTAAAACCAATAGTTTACGGGCCGTTTTAAGACACAACCTTATGCCCATTACCCAAGACGGACAAGACTTTTGGCTTCAGGTCGTCGGCACTGTGAACATATCGTTCACTCCTTCCGTCGTCCCTGGTTGTTTATATCTTCGCAATACGTGCACGTTTTACCGAATCTTACGCGCGGCGCTTCGAAACTTGATCGCTTTTTTTTGTTTTATTATTCAAGATATCACGAAAAAACAATATTGCTATAAAGAGATTTTATAAAAAAAAGATTAAATTTACATGAATACTATGTTGAGGAAGCAACACATTGGCAACAACTCTTTAATTCAATTAATCTCTATACCGTTTAAACTCGATCATTACCACGCGATACCATCGAGAGTATACACATATAATGACAATGAAAACATTTGATATTCAAGGTAATTATGCCAAATTAAATCCCTCAACCAGCCATTAACACGTATCTACGTAACGTAATGATTTTAAACGTAAACGTTTTGTAAAATTTCAAAATGTTCTTGTATTATTCATCCCCTTGATTTTGCGACTGGTGACGAAACTGATGTAACATTTAAGTCCAACATCCCAAAAACGTACAAGTTTTGTACATGGCACAAACAAATGCAAAATAGTTTAAGAGCTATTCATTTATGTAATATAATTTACATTCAGACTACTGTGCGGTATCATTGGTTCAAAAAAAAAAAAAAATTATTTTATATGAATGCTGTGATGGGTAATCAAATATTTCTCAAATCTTAATTACTCATATAGTATTTAATGTGAATATAGGTGAATAATATCAATGTTAATAGATAAAATAAATGTTATCCAATAAAACTAAGAAGTAGTTTCTATTTTTATTAAGTTTGGAGTTGATATTTAGTATCAGCTTAACATCGATGGTCAATATAAAAATATCATAAAAAATAAAACAAAATAAAAAAGATGAAAATATTATTTGAAAACAATTTTTATATTCTTATACTATATATTTTCACATCAATTGTAATTGAGGGGCAATACTAGTATTCGAATACTTTTTTAATTTTAAATTAAATGTTTTGTAATTTATAATTATAAGTGCATAACACGAGGAAATAAGGAAGATTATCTTGTAAAAATTGCTCATAGATATTTCATCATTATTACATTTAGTTTATAAGTAAAATGGCTTACATTATTTACATGTGTTTAACATGCGTTTACAAAATGTTTTGTTCATTTAATTTGACACAATATTTTAAATATTGTTTTTAGAAAAATATACTCACTATTCAGTTTCGCATTTCATTATACGTATGTTATAATATATTTGTTTGGAAAATATTTTGTGTATAAATGTAAAACACACGGACCAAAAGTTTAGTTTTAGAAATAAATTAATACCTAAACATACAAGCTAAAAAGTAATGACTTGGGAACAAAATACATCGTCTCATGTGCTTTGTTGCACGAACATTTTCCTTTGAAATATTTCTAAACTTTGATATGACTAATTAGTTATACAAGTTACGTAATTTAGAATTATTTTGTAACACAGTTCTTACATAAAAACGTGGCGTATACATTTCATTACAGAATTCAATAACATTTGGATGAATCCTTATTACCAAAGTGCTTTTCATTTGGTAATCGAAAATTAATTCAGAAATTAAATATGATATAAATACTGACATCCCTACCGTTTAAAAGTATTCGCATAACAGTTATACATACTTTCATGATTGCAATTAATAATTTGAAACAACTACTTTGTTGGAACAATTTTGGTATGTATTATCCGTGGCAACTCTTGTTTACGTCTGGCAACTATTGATTTTTTTACAAATAACATATAAGATCGTATTAGGGCTTCGACGCTAGTCACTCCGATAGGTAACCACTCATCCGGGAGCTAGCGACGCCCGTAGTATTGTACCGCAACACTATAATCTCTGATCGCGACAAACCGACACTCCACACCATATCTCTATTTGACATTTTATTTTTATTTTATACGTACATAGTGTTTTTGCTACGTTGGCGTACTGTCTCCAATGTTTCATACATATATAAATAATTAAATAAATAAATGTTTAGCCATTATATTTATTACATCTGTTAAGTACGGCTAGTTTTCGAATTAAATATTCATCGTCGGCTATGTACAAAGTCGATAAAATCACTAATAGTCGTTCTATGCAAATATAATAATACTCAAGACTAGATTTTTATTCATTTATTTCCATACAATGTATGGATCATAAATGTATAGTCATAAACTATTC